CACATTTCTAACAACATTTTGCAGTAATTCGTATGGACAAATCAGAGTCTTCATGGACGCTGCTGCGCATTAAAGACACATATCACTAAATTCTGGTCCAATGTTGCAAAGCGAACGTTTTGACGTTTTGGCATTAGCTGCAGACATAACCGAAATGTTCTTGCAAATTGAAATGCAACCGAATGATAAAAAACACCCTCACGAAGTATTGAACCGAATATGCCGCTTCCATTTTGACACACTTCAGATATGAAAGCCCGTTATGCAGGCAATAAATGAATGTTTACAGGCTACAGTAAAATTACAAAACGATTTTATGAAACGAAGTTTGAGTTTACATAATAAATAAACATCCAGTTGGGGTGGGGGTTGGGGGTAGCCTTCAACATGTAATAGTCAAATAGGGGTAATCACGGGTGGTAGCCTTTAATCTGTAATCTTCAACACTTTTAAATTAACATCGGTGTCGTGGTTATGTAAGTAATTAGAAACAGATTGTGGCAAAGGAGACCTATCCCATATCAGCAGGGAAGGAACCACTGAGAGATTAAGAAACTATAGGGGTATAGAAAAGGAATCGGTCAGGCATGGCAATTAGGTCCAGTTATTGAATGTAAATAAAATATAGTTGATATAGACGAGTATTTCTTATCCTGCATCTTACAAGTAGAACCCGAGAAACAAGCCTGTTTACAATTGAATAATTGAGAGGTTTATCATGATGAGGTATAAATTTGTTCTATTATTTTTTACAAATTGAGAATATTGAGGTGACATTTCTGGAGTGTAATTATATAATTGATATAATTGATACCCTAAAGTTTAAATTTCTAGTTCAAAAATCGTAGGCTTAATAACCCTGTAGTTGAAAGCTAACAGGCTAGAAAAAATGAAATGAAATTAAATGAATGGAGTTTAACAGGCTAGAAGTTTCAAATGTTCGAAAGCCATTTAAATAAGATCTCATTGCCCCACGGAGCTGTTCAAAGTTCTAATTAGTTTTTTTTTATTTGATGCCAATAATATTTCGTTCATACAAAATAATTAATTCGTTTAAACAAAGTAATTAATTCGTTTAAACAAATTAATTAATTTGTTTAGGCAAAATAATTTTTGTAAAACAGCTGTCAGATATGACAAAATCTTTAGTGGCTTAATAATGAATTTTCAAATAATATTAAAATCATCTGTAGGTCAAGACATAAACCTGAAACAGTTCATAAAATTATCATTAAATTCAAACATGAACAATGTCTCATCGCTGTACACACAATTGCAGTAACTTTGAACTGTTCATCTAATTATTACCAATTTCTAACTTGACCGAGATCTCATCATGCATTATCTATCAACCATTCAACAATCATCCGATTGTTACCAATTATGAACTCGACTGAGATCTCATCAATATATACATGCATACCAAGTTTCATCAAGATCGGATAAAAACTGCAGTCTCTATCCTGCCTACAAGGCAAACGTGTTTTTACTAAGTCAAGGGCAATAACTCCGAAACAGTTCATCCAATTATTACCAATTTCGAAAAATGACTGAGATCTCATAAATACATAATGCATAATTATTAAGTTTCATGAAGATCGGATAAAAAATTGTAGTCTCTATCATGCCTACAAGGCAAATTTGACTCGTTTTTACTACGTCAAAGGCAATAACTCTGAACAAGTTCATCCGATTATTACAAATTTCTAACTTGACTCAGATCTCATCAATATATTCATGCATACCAAGTTTCATGAAGATCGGATAGAAACTGTAGTCTCTATCATGCCTACAAGGCAATTTTAACGCGTTTTTATGAAGGCTAGGGCAATAACTCTGAAACCGTTCATCCGATTATTACCAATTTCGAACTTGACTGAGATCTCATAAATATATACATGCAAGATCGAATAAAAACTGTAGCCTCTACAGCACCTACAAAAAATGTGAACAGACAGACTGACCTACGGACAAGGGCGATGACAATGTGGGCGTATAAAAAAAATATTGAAAATTGCCTCTAAGGGGCTCTATAATAAGCAAATTTTAACCAACCTGTTCTCGGAACAATCTTGATATATTAGCACAATCTGTAGTTTTAATAAAATCTACCACATTATTAATACTCCATTCCAGAGGATTCTGGTCTAGTTTTAAGATATCTTCTTTTTTAAATTTATATTGTGGAATACAATAGCTGTCTTTTTTCTCATGGTAAAAGGAATAAAGAGATGGTTTGGAATGACTGGATTTTGACTGAAAATAAAAGAAAAAAGATTATCATTGAATTGCTTGGTGAATGCCAATACTAATCTAAACTCCCGAAGATTACCGCGCATATGAACATGTGACTAGTTCATCAAATCACTTGTCTACTGAGCCGGCGTGAGGTCAAGATCATGCTCTTATTTCACCATGCCCGCCATTTTGAACCCTAATGGAAAGTTGGAAAAAGCTGATGTTTTAGATGTTATCAAGCTATGGACAGCAGGTATAAAAGAAGAACACAGATTCTCCAAAGAAATACCAATCACTACAATTTCAAAATCTGAAATTTTGGAAAAAATCCATGAAATCAAATTGATTTTAAACATTGATGAATGGGAACAAATCATGTTGGTTGATTTTGCTACAGCAGCAATAAGTGTAAGTTGTATTTGTTTTAATATAACGAGAGGTAGACATTCGATATATATCGGTCAGACAGTCGTCTGATATGACAGGCGTTAACGTGGAGAGTGAGCGAATTTCTCTGCTTCGATAGACACCTTAGTCGAATGTGGCACATAAATGTAATTGCAATTGATAGTTGACCGCAGATTTGTAACTTTACACTGCCCATGTCTTTGGTTCAAACCCTTAGTATGCCTATCCATGACCCGAAAACAGCTGCACTTTTGTACCAATATATAAAAAAAATCTATCTTTTATTACTGCTTTAAATGAACTTCGTTATATCGTAGATAGCTAATAAAAATGCAAAAGAAAAGTTTAACCCAACTGGGAAATCTGTTAGTGCCAAAAGAAAGGCAGAGCCAGAAGAGGTAATTTCTCAGCAGCATTATATCGTCGGTTTGCTCTTGGAGATTCTGATGGTTTAATGTACAATACACTTTTGGAAATATGCTAATTCTATCTGACTATTATAATTTCTGAATTGAAATTGAATTTGTTTCATTTGTTACTTAGAGTAGTTTCATGAATTTACTGATCCAAGTGAAGGTATTGAGTCACATTACCTTCCTATGTAAAATAGTTATTTACATTTGGAATACGAATTTACCTTTTGAAGCAATTAAACCTAAATGATTTTTCTGGCATTATGAATTTCAATAAATCAAAACACATTGATTCTGAAACTTTGATACATAGTGGTCAGATAGTATTTATTGCAATTGGTAGTTGGCTGTTGTAGTTTGTCAGCCGTTGACAAACTGGTGTTGTCAAAAAAATAATTTCAAATTTCAATTGGCGATTATTGCGAATGGTGTTCGTGATATATTGCTGTGGAAGTTAGATGTATATTTTTTACATCTGGAATTCAATGGGGAACCAAACTCGGATTATCTGCCCCTGAAGATGGCGCCACCGACTAGGGTCCCGTAAGTCGACTGTGCGCTTTGGTAATATTGTTACCAGACCAGGTACTTACAATAATTCCAAACCTTTTCTATATTAGCGCAATTTAAGCGAGTGCGTTGCTAGAGCTGGAGCATGAAGGGCGTGGAGTTTGCAACAGTTTTAAATAAATTTCATAGCTGAAAAAAGTGTGACATTTCTTGTTAGGAATATGTTAAGGGTCTGCATCAACAGTAAATACATAAGTTCCCTTTGTGGTATTTCTTAGGGTTGAGGGTCGGCAACAGTTTTCAATATCATCGACACTTCATAATAATTGCAAAAATAGCGTAATTTTAGCTAGAAATAACTGAAAATAGAGCCGAAAATAGCAGAGGGTACTTAGAATAATTTCAAATATTTTCTATAATAGCGCAATTTTAGCTAGAAATAGCTGAAAATAGAGCCGAAAATAGAAAGTGTGGACTTAAAATAATTTTCAAATTTTTCTAAAATAGCGTCTAATAGCTAGCTATTCTCAAATATAATCGACACTTCATAAAAAAATTGCAAAAATAGCACAATTTGAGCTAGAAATAGCTGAAAATAGAGCCGAAAATAGCAATCATGCTATAAAGATATACTCCAGACTTCCTTGTATGTGGTCGGAATATTTTCAACCCACCCCTCTTTTTAATATCCAATTTACTCTCACATTTTCCCGCATACTCCCCAGATCTAACATATGTGAGGGAATCAAGGGGGGTGAGATTAGCATACAAAAGTTTTAAATCACTTTGGGCAACCCAACCTACAGGGTAATTTACAAATGTAGACAAAAACCATATACTGTATGTTTCCGTATATAATGCGCAGTCTTTTACCCCAAATTTGACCTTTACAGAAGGGGTGCACAGGGGTGAATAGATGTTGAGGATGCCCCATTTTGTCTTCCTTCATTGCCATGTTGTTATGTTTATAAGATCGTTTCGGGAGTAATAATAACTCCTTAGACTTAATGTATTTTATAAATATTTTGTATTAATGTATTTGAAATTACTAAACTGAAATAGGTATATTAATGTGTTATTTTAACGCAATTAATTCCATAAAGATAGACGTTCTACGGCTGTAACAATATATAATTCGATCACAGTCCAAGTAATTTGAATACACTTACCAGATATACAGGGTTTTAATATTATTCTTCGTTTTTCGCAAATTATTCATCACAATACACATGGTAAATGGAATAAAGGACAGTAGTAGAGTTTTTGTAAATCTATTATTCACAGTTAACTAAAACAACAAGATCCCCTTAATTTGTATGACCACTGATAATATTTATGAGTAAATTCTGAATAGACACAAGAGGCATTGAGATCAAAGAAAGATCAAAGAATACTACAAACACCTGTTGTCCACATGATCAGTGAATGTTGAAAAGGGTGGGTCACAGGCACTTGGTTCTGTATTCTTGCTTGATCTGGACAATTTATTGAAGACATTCCAATTAGAATTTTAATGCCTTCGCATCATCATTTGAAAATAGAAAAGGGTAGCGCATTAAGATGGTTTGACTAATCACTCGAAGGAATATGAACATTGGACAATCGGAAATTAATAAAAACATACATTAAACAACTTGGTTTGTTCACAAAAAGTTTCAATTTTAGGATTGTTAATTCTGACAATCAAATGATTGACACTATACTTTTTATCAGAGCAGTTTGTATCTAGGATAATTAGGTATATTAGTCATATTACTTGCTATTGGAATGCTTGTGAGTGAGGAAGTAGCAGAAAAATAACTGATAACTTCTTAATTTGTATTTGATTGTGAATATACTAAGTTGTGTGATTCAATTGAGGGATTAATCAAACCCTCAAAATTCTTTCTATCCCCTTGGAAATATAATGGACTGGTTGTATTTATGTTTTTACAGTACCCAGATGAGCAAAAATATCTGTGTTTGACTATACTTGAACCTTCTGGGTTAATTATGTCACATGTCAGAACAGTCTAAATTTATTACATTTTCTGTCTGTAGAAGGTTGTGAAACCAGAAAGTAGACGTCAGACATCAGAAATGAAAGTGTCAGTGAAGAGCCAAGGTCAATGACCTGTGACCTTGTACAGGGGAAGATCAACAAAGGTCAAGGTCACGAGATATAACTCATCAAATTTTCAAACTGCATACAGCTACAAAACCAGAAGATGATGTCAGATATGAAAATATAAATAAATAACCAAGGTTAATGACCTTTGACCCTACAAAAGTTAACGTCAACAATGGTCAATGTCAAATATTGAAAATATGGAATTCTAAAACCCGTTCCTTTTTTTGAACTATCCAGCAGAAACAACTGAGCTTTTAACACAACCTGGCCACATGAATGAGGTAATTGTATGCTAAGTCCCTTTTTGAACAAGTCTATCCTATGCGAGTTATGCCCCTGTCCCAAAATGTAAACAATTAGTAAAGTAACCCAGTTGTGTCACGCCCACCTAAATTTTTTGTCATGGGTTCATTTAAATTCAAAATGTCTAGTTGTCTTTCAAATTTCAACGTTCTACATCAAATAGGTTATAAGATATACATATGCCAATCTAAAAAATGCAAAAATATTGTAAAAAAAAAACTCAAATTTCAATTTTTCATTAAAAAACAATTGTTATATATCACTGGAAAGAGCATGAAAAGAATCCCAAAAAAAAAATAACCCTCAATAATAGGGCCAAACGGGGAAAAAATCATGCACTTTGTGAAGAAATCACAAAATTTGTTGAGAATGGTCATCTGTACAATATAAGAGGTGGACCCACCAAGTATCTCTCAAAATGACCCCAAAATCCAAGATGGCCAGGTCTTTAATTGACCCAAAAACCCAAGATAGCTGCCATGAAATTGATATAACGCACATAATCCACACATTGTTCCCCCTATCAGCAAATGGTATACAAAATAAATACTACAGTGGTGTAACCTATTTTTGTGCATATAAGGATTCAAAACCGAATTTCGACAAAGTTAAAATTTTAAAAGTTCCGAAATTTTTTTTTTATTTATCTTTAATATCAATTCATTATAACTAATGGCAATTCCTTCAAAGAACCATGACTTAAAAAAAAAATAGTGACTGACAAAATAAGATATGTAGCGTGATTTAATGCTAACAATCATTGAAACAACATAAGAATATGGCCCACATTGTGTTCCATAGAATTTTTCTGCTGACACGAAATCCACTATATGATCACGTGACTTCATTTGTTTGACTACATTCTAGCAGACAGCACTGCTAGAATGTACAGCGTGGGATTATAAAGAAATTCGGTCGATAAAAAATTGTGAAGTTTGGTAATAACTGAAATCCGCCATTTTGTATTTGTCAAAGCATACATTAATAGACTTTACCGTGCTTGAGACTACTGAATCTATTGTGCAAATGCAGAGGTCACGCAAAGTCGCACATGTAAATCATTGATTCTTTCTGGAAATGCACGAAAAATAGGTTAGCATGAAATAAGGTTACTTGACTAATAAAAATGTTTTCATATAATTTCAAAAATAAAACATTATTTTAGTGATGAAGGTAGTAATTTTGAATCTAAATGTAAGTAATGAGTTATATAGTTATATGTATTTGTATGTAATAGTACATCTGTGATTTATACATTCGCCACCACATTTATA